GGCATTTTCTGTAGAGGGTTTATCTCATCGCCGACCTTGGAGCAATCTCCGTCTCGTGTGTCCAAAACATTTTTTGTCGTCTCCGGACCACAAAAAGTTTGCGAATGGGATTTGCTGTAAGATATTCCTGCACCTATCTTCTCACGAGGGAGGGAAAAGGTCGCGGAACATCTGACTTCTCTTTTCCTTCTCTATTTTGAAAGAAACGGAATATTAGTTTATCATAAATCTGACCTTTCTGTCTGAGTCTTGTAAACTGAACGCGCCCGAAGGAAGCACGAAACCGACCATGGGACATCCCTGCTATCATGGGACACACTCAATTTCGAAGAAAGCCGGGCTCACGAAAACGTAAGATATACGGCAACAACCCCACACGTGCTTCTCTTCAGAAAGAGGTGCTACTTCGGGCGCGTCAACGATTGACGGAACAGAGACTTTACGGCTCAGCGTCGAAACATGAATTAATGATGGGGCGAGGCTTTTCTCAGCTGCAGAAACTTGGCTGCTGGTGGCGTATTCTGGATGACATTCTCACCGTCACGCTCGAAGTGGCAGGAAAACGTGATCATTGTGCATTCATAGTCTTTCTACATATAGTAATTCCAACGATGAAAACCTCACCGCGACATTCCAACACCATCTCACTCTCGAGGCTCCCGGTGGCAGGTAAAAGTGATCATTGTGCATTCATAGTCTTCTACAGATAGTAATCCAGCGGAAAAAATCTCACCGAGTCATACTATCACGAACACATGTACAGTAGCTCCAGATGCTCAACAAATAGTAAGTGAACGTCAACCCAGCTCTCCAATAAAGATAATGGAATACTATGCTAGGCAATTTATCTTCACTATCAAATGTTGACTCTCTACAAATATATGTAGCATCCCTCGTAGATGCAAGACAATGAAAACTGCAATCATCGTATAGATTACAAATAAGATGATGAAAATGTACCCTTGACCCCATGTATCGTAATTTCTTGCACACAATCTTGAGAATGTCTATATTAATCTGAAAATTGTTCATGTAAATCATATCATATCATTTGAAAATTCATTCAGTTATGTATGTTTTATGCAAATGAAACTAGATTATGATAGAAATAGCTCTAGGGTATGAGACTCGATATAGACTTACATCTAGTTCTTGCTGAACATATGTTGAAAAGTTGAATTTGAATAACCTTAAAGTTAAGATTAGAATGAATTCAAAATCGTCTTTTACCTATTTATTATGATGTTCATGGCATTTGAAAATTTGTCTATTGTTCACAGCATAATGAAATTCGCAGTATACCATCATCAACTGAGGCTTAAATTGATCTTCAATTCACATATTGCGTCTAGGTGATTACCTTTACCAATAACATAATGCAAAAATCATGTTAGTTGAAACTGTTGTCGCACAGAATCTAGATCAATGTCAGGTTTCATATAAAAAATACAGAAGTTTTATGATTTCAATCTCTATATTATATATAGTATGGACTGGTAATATTCTTTTTTTAGATATTTGTAATGATATAAAAATAGCAGTTTTTATGTTCTGAATGTATTCTATATCAAGCGGTGCATTAAACATCTAAAATTTTTTCTTAGATAATTTTGGAGCCAAAATCCCTTCATACCTCCCATTCCTTGAGTATAGCATAATCTGTTTATCTTCTAATTTTACAACTGTAGTAACCAGGAATAATGTTATGATGAGATGTATAATTCACACTAGAGATGAAAAGCAATGTATCGACTGAAAGCAAAAAAATTCCCTATAGTTATTTCCTTGCAATAATTTTGTCAGAGTATTTTAAAAGGAATTTTTTTTATTGAGCTAAATAAGGGAAAAATTTCCATATAGCGGAACAGGTTAAAAAAGTAACAGAATTTTATGCATAAGCACATTACCTTTGCGGATAGGATATATGCTTAAGAGCACCTACCATACAAATTAAAAAAATCTTATAAATAATTTGATTAAAAAAAATTGCATCATATGTGTGACTATGTCCTTTTAATAAGAATCAGAAAGAGAAATTTCTATAAAAAAGACATCAATTTGAATAGACTACACAAAAGATAAGAGAAAATAATATTTTTTTTTGCTTTGTGTAATAAGCTTTTGCACACACTTTCTCAAGTTTGTCAAAGTTAGCATCTATAACTCTATTTTATTTCAATCTCAAGGCTCAAAAAGTTAATTTCTATGCACATTTTTGAAGATTTCCTGCACGGTTTTTTTTCATCAAAAGAGATAAATATCTACTACCCGTATAATTTAGGATGAATCAGATTGATAACCAAGACACGTGCAGTCATAAATATTTTTCTCAAACCAAGTATATATCTAACTTCATCTTGATAAACTGCAACTCATATCATTGACTTCTTAGTACGGTTTTTGTCTCTATGCGCCATAAAAAACATCATTTATTCAACAGTATTGTGATTAATTATCTCTTGTACTTGAAATGAGCATCAAGTCAAATGAACATGTTTAATTTAGAGTGATCAACACTCACACATGGACAATAAAGAATCGTAAAAATAGCTCAAACCCAAGCACATAAATAAACAAGACTTCGTGACACGAGACCTGGACAAATCTACTCAGAGTGAATATAAAGTACGCTAAATCTATCAAAATCGAAGGTAGAAAGTTTCTTCATTCATATATTTATATAAATAAAAGATTATTTAAAAAAATTGCCAATCTCTAGTATCTTTCATGAAGAAATAAGATGCGTGTAAAATTTTAAGTCATATATCAAACAAAGAAGTGTCTTCTGGATGAAGTAGGAGTAATGAGTTTGATCTTGTACTCACATCTCATGCACACATCTATAGTATAAACTCATATACATGCAAAAAGAGAGATATGCTTGCATATGAATGATTGTACTGAGAATATCCAACCGGCCAAATATCATAACGTTTTTTCGTCCACTATCGATAATAAACCTTAATCTCCGCACAAATTGGCAAAAGAAAATTGACTCCTTGCCAAGTCTCCAATCTCACACTCGAATTCACTAAGTTTGACGGTGGTCAAAGAAAATTTCCTGATCTGCTTATCAAATCACTACAAGATGATAAAAGAGAATTGTGTGAAAAGGGTAGTTGGGTTGACAAACAATACAAGAGTAGACTATATCAAACTACACATGTATTATCTTAGTACTGAAGATCATACACTTTTGATACGAACTCAGCCAATGACTAATGTAGACAATGTATACGGAATTAGTAAAATTGCAATTTTAAGATACGTTAACGGTCGATAATTAACATATACAGCGCAAATTCCAACTTAGAGGAAATGTTTCCAAACAAGTGATCACTACATACTTGACACATTGAATCGCTAAAATAACACATGAGAATTATGTCAATCAATGAATCGATGTCTTACAAAAAACACAATAAAGAAGATTCATGGTAAAAACTCTAGATGAGAGTAATGACCTATAGATGCACTAAAATCCCAAAGGTCACTTTTGGAAATTCAATATAATATAATGGATCTGAATATGTGACAGGAATAGAAAGACAAAAACATAGTTCAAGTATCGATCGAAGCTTCCATCGATGCTTTAAGTTTTTCATGAGTTAACGTCTACGTCTGACACTAGTGTTATGCATTTTTTGCACCGCAGAATACTTGTAGAAAAACATAGTTTTATATTATATAGCTTGTTTGATGTACAACACGACAACTGTAAGCTAAATTGCAGTGAAGTTGAATTCAGGTCTAGCGAGGCTATGCTTCCTTGGGTGCTTGCTTCGAGTCTTCAGGGAAACTTCTCACATCTTACTATTCGACCGCACTGAAAGCTTGCTACAACGGAAAGAAGCAAGATCTCGGTATACGGACAATGTTCTTGTACTCTGGTGCTTTCGCACTGCTCAAAGCGGAATCTTCTGCCAGGATAAATAGCAATGATGTAAAGTACGAGCAATCCGTACTCTTCGCAGCGGAGTTCCCGCCATCTTGAAAATGCAGGATAAGACACGAATGATCGATGATCGAAGCAATGTATCGGAAGAAGATGGTGAAGTAGTCTCGATAGTGGAATTGTTGCACATTACGGATCAATCGCTGCCACATTAGATATGAGATTCGAACGTGCATTGCTCTCGGCCAGACGCGTGCAAGTTCTTCAGATGGTTGCTGTCTGGCTTCAAGATTGCTGCGATTGCACGCTGCATCGCATTTCCCCTTAGCGCACACAGTACAGTACTTCCACTCAGCCTCATCAGGCCCACCATCGTGTCTGCCGAGTTTGATACCACGTAATTAATGTTTCTCAAAATGACAGCTGAAACGTGCATGTACGCTATCATGACTCAGTGGTTAAAATGTTGCGAACGAACGAACATTTTCAAGTATAAATAATGTGTTCAGAATCGATAAATCATCACACCACCAGGAGCCGGCGTCACAGCATGAGGAGGTCCGGCAGACGTACAAAATGCATTAGCTCTATTGCGACTAGATTCAAAGGATCTTCGACCAGTGTTGGATGCCATCGAGTGAGTCAAGAGATGCTGCGTACAGTGGATCATTTCCAAAAGAAGCATCACCTACAGGAAAGGAATGAGCCACGCAAGTGCTTACGATGGTTGAGTATCTGGTCTGGCAACCTTTTGACAGGAGTCGGTAAAGCTGACCGAATACGATAGTTTTTAGTGAGGAAAGGTGAGTAATTTCAAACATTTCATGTCGGCGAGGAGGAGCACAAAGCCGGATCGTAATGAAGCTTATCTTCGACACGGCTGACAAGACTGAAGACGGCACTTTACAGCGAAGAAATGATGTGAAAGGTACGTTATTGGACACAACTCGTTACATTTCATAGACATATGTGATGGTCGAAGAACGATCCAGTCGGTGGATGAGGTAGTCAAGACATCGCTTCATAACTACAAGTTTTCAATGGCAAGTACCTTACCCACAACATATCCATCAACTTCCATTGCCAACTTATAGTCATGTCCGTGGCCCAACCGACAGCAGTAATTAATTAAGTCAGACGTTTGAAATTCACAAATTGCTTCTTGACAACAAATTCAACTCGGTCAACCGGGTCCTGCAGCTCGTGCAATTGAATATTTACATTACTATAGACTACTGCTACTGGATTGCTGGAGGACCACCATTACCTATCTATCTCCAACGTCATCGAAGAAGCTACTCTGAATCCTGAAACTGAACCGCACATGGTGAGAGTGTCAACCCTGTCGTGTGACCGTATCTTCGGATCGCTTTTACTTCATGTGAATGCTTGTTGCTCAAACATGATATTTAAGGATATAAAGACGGAATGTCTTTCCTTTTAGTCCTATTACTCATCTGAGATGACTATGACGTGCCTACCAATTCAATCGGTCAACAATCGAATATCCGAAGTGTACTGGCCTGCACATGGTAGAATGAATACTGAAACACATTCACTCCCCCCGGTTGCGTCGGAAATATATTTGAAAGGAGATCTTGAGAACAATGACCTCATGGATGAGTCTGCGTCAGTTTGTTCCTCTGAACTGAAACCGATCAAATCCAAGTATCCATAACTTGTATTGGAAACCCTCTCGGACATTTTCAACACCAGTCCGGATTCAATAAATGATAGGTCTCCACGTGAACAGGGGACTAGACAATCTTGCAGTGCCTCTGACCGGAGTTTCCAGTTCCATACTGGCAGCATCACCTCGGACTCTGGGTTATTTGTCACAACCCTACTTATTGTACCGAGGATGTATGCTAGAACATTGCCCTTAAGGGATCGAGATTGCTCCGCAAGTTTTCAAAGCTAACACCCAAATGAGCCTAAACCTCGTGCTAATGTCTAGTTACTTCGAAGGAACCAGATGGTGGTCATGATCAGAAATATGTGGACTCACGAGTAACCTCTCCGAGGCGAGCGCTCGTGCTTTCAATCAGCTGCAGCCAAAGGATGAACGACTGACTGGATTCGGGAGCTAAACTGTAAAATCAGATGTTGAAATGTAATTCCTTTCGTTCCTATTTCTATTGTTGCAATGGCATTATAAACAATTTGGCAGCCAGCTACCCTCTTCATTCCGCTACACTAAGTATCTACATCTTTCATATTGTGTCAGGATCTCCCGACGTACACCTACAAAGTCATGGAATTAAATACATGTCCCACCTGAATGTAATGGCGGCACAGTCTGTTAGGAGCACAGGCATTCGACTCGAACACCTCAACTTCTCTCTCATCAATCACCGATGTCTCGATAACAACATCCGCTTCCGCCCAATCTGCCGAATAAACGTTCTCACCTGGAGGTCCACCTGTGCGCTGCAGTGCCTCCCCAAAAATTCCCGTTTCCAAATCTGCAGTTGTGCCTTGGTGGTGAGCCCAATTTACTGCATAACTCGGTACCGCAGCCACATTCCACAATGCGCTGTCCAGGCCTGGTCTATTGCAGTCTTTCGACGACCGAGGGATAAAATTGATGTTTTCATCGCATTCTGCTCCTCTTCCGGCGCCGACCATTATGACTGTAATCATCAGAATGGCCTCTCCCCTTAGCATTAAGCCCTTCCAACTATTCCACATCCTGGACATCTATTGTTCCTGATAAAATTGCATATGCGCAGTCTTCCCTGCCAGAGTTCAGACTCCTTGCAGAGGGCCAATCGATCCGAAAATAGAGCGCTCCTCCTCCTTCAAATTCAGCGAGATGTTCTTGCGTGAACTGTACACATAATCTCGTAGAGAATATGAGAAATCTGCTGGATGAAGTCTGTTCATGAGACTCGACGTGATGGACTCAAGAACCCAATCAGACTCAGCTCTTTCTCTATATAGTGAATTATCAGCAGCAAACTGCGAGCGACTCGGAGATGGTTTCCAACCCACGCCTCTAACTAACCACCATTGGGATGAAAAAGTTGAAGCTGGGATGCACTAGAAGATATGGAAAGAGAGAAAGAGAGAAATGCGAGGGAACCTGGTCAGAGGTGTGAAGGTAAAGAGGGACGTCGAGGAATGAAAACCGGCTAATTTATATTCTGATTGCCGCCACTACCGCTATTGCAGGCGAGTAGTAGACCCAAGTCAGATAATTAAGAAGCGAGAAAAAAGACATGTGAAAATCACCACAGTGCCAATGTGGTCCCACGCATCGGGCATAGGAAAACGTGACATGCAAAGCTTAGGAGGTGGAATAGGTTAGTGCACCGAAAAAGTGTCTAAATGACTTGTGTCCAACTGACCACACGTACCTCCCTCTTAACTCCAGATCGTATGTACGAAATCAATCAAACACGCACACACATACAAACGTGGACCGTGTGATGCCCATGATGCTATCTTCTTCTGGGGACAATTGGATCCTGGGCTGCTGGGTAAAGCTACCAGCCAAGCACAGCAGGCGGCTATATTAGCAGACATCATTTCCTTTGTTGTAACTTTGAGTTCCACGTAAGCCTTTTAACGAGTTTGTTCAAGAATCCACTTCCATTTCTTATAGTTTAACTGATAATGAAGTGATTTCGACTTTGTCCTACAACACATGATGCATTTACGGCATCCACCTAATTACCTTTTTTCTTGTTTATTTATTTCTTATTAATTATTAATATATTTTTATTATTCAATGATAATTTTTATTTATTATTTATTAATTAATCTTACTTCTTCCTTCTGCATTGCCTATAGAAAAACCCACTAATATCTGAAACCTGTGCATTTATACAACTCATTTTTGTGTGTGATGTTACAATTGAAAAAAATTATGAGAGAGCAACTCAGTAAGGCACTCGACCCTCCGAAACCCCATTCAAGAAAATAAAGAAAAAAACATCCTCATGTCAGAAATTGTTGAAGAAGGATTGATAGAATTCTAGAGATAATGCTCAAAGTCTATACTTTCATTAACGGGCATCATATGTACCTTCATACATCATAAATTTATTTGGAAACCACAATTGCATAGAAAGAATGATTACTTGCTTGCTTTCTTCTATCAAAGTCCTGGTGGTGATAGCTTTGGCTACCGTATCCTTCTTCGTATGACATTTTCAAGGACTTTGTGGACAAATCTGGATCAAGATACCGTACTTATATAATGCAATAAGCTCATTTGCATTTTTCTCTTTAAGTCAAAGTAGTCTTTTTGAATGTTTTCCTGACCTGAGCATGATTACCCTATGAATCCCTTTTTCGAAGATATATTTGTTGATAAGCAAGATGCACACCATAATACTGGAAACATAGTTAGACATCGGTCATTATACTAGCCAGTTCACCAATCAGACATCCCTTTCAAAAAAGTGTTATGGTAAAGGTTCAAAAAGAGAAGCACATACACTTTATACCGTAAGCATGGTATCCAAGGGTAAAGATCCATAGAATCAAGTAGCAAGATTCGTCAGCACACGTGGAGAATTGTCGATTTGATGTGATCTAAAACCAAACTAGTTCATACAATAAGCCAAAGAGTATTCAGAAACAACAACTACAGGGTATTTGATTCAAGCACTTCTCGGCGTTGAAAACTAAATTAAATACAACTTAATCTCTCAAAACAAGATTATGCATTATTATGTACGCATTGAGAGCAGAAGTTCTCCAACATTTTCTCACCAGGGGAAAACATACGATCCCCCTATCTTCATACTTGAACCACAACTTTGGTCGGTGTACAGCGTAATTGTAACTACAACAGGAGCTCGGTGAATAATTCACACACATAAACATACACACACCCTCCCTCGGCAAACAAGTTACTATTTGCCCATATGATCACTATCGAACACGGACTTGAGTCCCCATTGATGCTCTGTAACACAATTCAAGATTTATTACAAAATATGTGTCGCTTGTTATTTGGTTAAAACTGGATGATTTGCGGCTAGAGTATAAGGGGAAGCGAATCAAACAAGATCTCCTAACTATTTGTTAGGATATCATATAAACTAACCTCAAAGCCGGTTAGTTTCTCATAAACACATTCAAGGTCAGAAGTACTTCAACTTTGCCAGTACTTCAACTATACCGCAATCTGGTTAGAATCTTACAAGAATTCTAGAAATGTTTAAGATAATATTGTTATGTTTTTCTATAACATAACAAATAGGTATATTGTGCACTATATATGATGACATAAGATGGAAATACAACTTACACTATAAAATTTGAACATATCATTTCAAATTATTCAACATTTTTTTGGTTTTTACTAGTATGATAATTTCTCTGTATTCTGGACAGGATGTTGATTCCACATAGGAATGCAGCCATCAAGTTATGTAGATTTTGGAAAAAATTGGATCGCATTGCAAGATGAAATTCATGTGCTAAAAAAACTCATTTATCCGTTCAAAGTTTTGTTTAATTGCCATAATTTATGATCGTAGAGCACACTAGGGCCAAGATTGTCGAATACTTAATCGGTTTTTCTATACTAACTTTTTTGAAAAAATTGATGGACTGATAGGCAGAATGATGTCTATCAATTCAATAGTAATAAGTTATTATTACAAAAAAACTTTTTGAAGAAATATTAAAGTGCTTGAAATATGCTTATAATTATGATCCATAAGTCGAATAAAATTTTGACTAATATTGTGAACATCTGTATGAATCACTTATGAAAATATTTTAGACGAAGTAGTAATTTTTTTTTCATTTACAAGAAAAAGAACGTGATTTACCATTGGTAAATATATAAGTATTAAAAGAACTATCTCTCACAGTTATTGTGTCAAAGTCAATACATAGTTTAAAAATTGTATAAAGGCTATTATATTATAGAACATTATTAGAATTTTTCGATTAAAAAATGTAAATAAATTCGTAGATATTAATCATTATAAACTTATGATTGATTTGATAAAAAATTTTCTCATTATATGTTTTTTTAGTATAAATATTTTTTGTTGGAAATGGTGAAAAATACGCAAACATATCAAAACATGAACATTAGCATGTATAAGAAAATTGACACAAAGTACGTGATCGTCCACGAGAATTCAACAAATTTTTACCTATAAAAATCCTAAATTATTTACCAAGAGTTTTGGCTAGCTCTTCTATATAATTACTAGCAAAACCTAAACTCTAATTAGGATTAAGCTACCTGAATTAAAAACAAATGTTGAGTTAAAACTGAAATTTTTTAGACAAAATAGACTACATTCTCATTGTGATGCTGATGTCAGATGAATGTTTTATGTTATTGGAATTTTTCTTGTACAAGTTGATGTGAAAATATTATCTTCTTACGATTCATTATTTTTGTAAGCTTTTTCTTGAATACACATGCCTGAAGAAAGCTAATTGAGTATAAAAATGATATGTTTCCCAATCAATATAACAAAATAGTGTTTATCACATGAGTAGGAAATTTTGTGAAAACTTTAATCTGCAACTTGTCAAAAATGCTCATTTATTTGATTTTTTGTTAATTAGAAAAATTAGCATTCATGATGATTTATCTTGAACCTTGAAGGAGGCCGGCAAAACAGGGAAATGTTTCAGATAATGAAAATATTCTTTGTATTTCATTTAAACAATTATAGAATTGTCTTCAGATTTTCATACTCAGAGAATTCATGATTTGTTAGGTTTGTTCAAAAACTCATTTGTAAACATTTTTTCACATGATTTTACTAATCGTGAAGACCTTCATGAAAATCATTTATGATATCTTTTTTCATTTTCAAAATATAAACCTTCTTTAGGACAGAGATATCTTTCTGCAATCTAATTGTCGTTGCAATAAAGTTGATGTCTCCAAAATTTTAAAGTTGTAAAATTCAGCATATATATTGTAAAGTGTTCAAAAAACATTTCTTTAAATTTAGTATTGAAATATGCTTGAAATTGAATCTTCATTAAATCTTATTGTATAATTTGAACTAAGTAAAGAGCTTTACTCATCCAAGTGATTAGCCTATGCGATTATTGTATGGTTTCTTGCACTTCGCTGACTGCTTTAATTTAAGAAAGTTAGAATTAGACCATCTATTATTGATTGGACTATGTTACACATTGTTATATATTATGGCAAGCAAAAGTGTTCTATACTACAAAACTAGGATTTTTAGTATAATAATTTGTTTCAAGTGGATGTATGCTCTCTTAGATGAATATATATGTTTAAGACTCTGATGGGCAATGTCTGTCATTTTGAATATCAATTCAGGCTAATATATATTCCATGCTCTATATCAACACAAAATTCCAATAATCTTATTGTGAACATATGAGGAAAGTCAATCATCATAATACCTGCTTTAAAATATCAAATATATGCACAAAATGAGACGAAGAGTAAAAAATTATCTTTAATAAATCGGATTGCATCGTTGCCTTGTGTCCCACCTGGAGACATTCTGCATCCTGCAACTTTTCTTGAGTATGAGCTCTAATGATGAATTCATGCATCCTCACCAAACTCTGTTCATTTAATCTCCATGATCAATCTAGGAAATCTCCAAAACGATATCAAATAATGATACCAAGTTTCCGCATGAAACTTGCCAGGTTAATCAGATAATGACGTAGTGTAGTAACAGTAACTAACCGTCTGAAATAAAGTTTCACTCAAACTCCATACATTGTTACATTATTTCGGGAATACATTCATATATTTGTTTCCATGAGATGATTCTTAGATGAAAATTCAGCGTGATCCTGTTGACCCCAAAGGAATTTGTTAATGTATGTAATATGTAATAATATCATCAGTTCTACATACAATTTCTAAAATCTTATTTAAGTATTCTGCGTACATCATCGAGAAATTCTTCACAGTGATGCCTCATACATTGGACCTCCAACACTTCAAGGAGGATAGAAATTAAAGCAAGAGTTCTGGACGAAGCACAGTCACGCTCACTCTGATTACAGAAAATCAACACACATAGTCATGCATCAAAATGCTAACCACGAGCAGTTGAGCAAATTACAGGACTTCTAAACTCGAACGCAACATTCCCTCCAATGAAAAATATTT